GATGATGTTCAAAATGAAGTTTTTAATGTAAGTTATTTAATTAATACTATTAGCAAATCAAATTATTATTGCAAATATGCATAGATTCTAATTACTTGTGAGGTCATAAATTATCTCAAAGTCATTGTGATATGGGTATTGTAATGCTTCGTATATGGACAGTTTGGGGAAAATGTAGTTTCAGTTTGTGTATAATAATATACAAATATCGGGGCTAATTAATCAACTTAGGCACGCCTAAGTAAGCGAGAATTAGTTGGTTGAATGGGGAAAATTCCTAAGGCTTTTACGTGCGACTCAATTAGCGTCGTCGGATTAGATTCGGGTCTCCTCTCTAATACCGGTGGTGGTACTAAGGGGTGTCCGGTATATAAATTCGTCAAGTTGGCTGCCGGTGCGACCTAAATCACAGCAATGCCCCGAGCTTTATTATCGGTGTCCTCCTCGTCCTCATCCCAACAACTTCCTCATACCAAAGTGAATTTATTATTCATGCGGCGGTTGCGACTCAAGATTTGGGTCGAAAGCCAACACATCTCTGGGAAAATACCATCCCTTCCCCGTTTTACCTATACATCCTCTATTATTATCTACATCTGCCTCGCACTCGACTACCACCGCTCTCATCAAACGTATTATATTGGGTAATAACAATCCGGTGTTACGAATTGCTCAGTTTACGGTTACACACATTAACATTATATTACGTACACAATCTAGACAATGCCAGATACTACCTGCAAGCCCTCACACACTACACTACCCTACCCCTTGAATATTAACGTGATTTATTGCTGAAAGCATCCCTGTTTTCAAGTTCCCAACAGCATTTCAGAGTCCATAATTTCACGCACAACATGTTCAATTCGTAATTGCACACCGAAGGTTTTCCCTTGCTTAGAAATAGTGCTGTTGTAATAAACGGAAATTAACATTTAGATTGTTGAGGTCAATTTGTAAATGAGATGGTTGAAGCAACGAAAACGTCGTCAATTTATCTGCAACGTAAAATTTGAATGCATATAAATCAATGGGATATAACTGGATCAGTAGTGTGCATTGGTGTATGATGATGCACGAAGCGCGCAGTTAGTTCGTGCGGTGAGGATCTTTATTCAATTAAAAACCGCGGAAGATTGAAGCGTCAGAGGAGCCATTAACGTGCCGTAATAGCCCGGATAATCTCAGCAGAGCGTTTCAACGATTCAACCCATCCTCGAAATCCCTTTCCCGAATCAGACGTTCAGTAATTAACGCGAAAAGGTCGCGCCCGGTTCAAATCAGGTCTCTCATCTCTACATGTATAAAAAATAAACTGTTTTCTTCGTCCCTTAGATCAAACATTTATTAGAATTGTTTATCCGTTGTAGTTTGGGATCCGCCGGAGTGGAAATAGTGTCCATACATCAACATAAACGACGAGGAGTTGGAAGAAAACACGCACGGGGATTGATGGAGAGAAGGGTCGAAGAAGGACCCGCAGGTCCTCCTTTTTTTCTCTCCGGGTTTTGTTTACCCAATGCGGACACTGCCAAATCCACGTGAAATCTCCGGTTGCGTTGATGTACGTCCCTGAGGTATGTACCTAAAACGACTATGCACGTTCGATAAATATTTATGAATTCCACAGAAAACACAACAAAGGAGACCGAAATCACTGTTTGCCGAAGGAGCTTGAAGAAAAAGTAAACTTGAAAGATGTATACCTCACTAAGAGTTCGCACTAGCGGTGGATGCGCCGGTGAATAATGTAAGTTAATTTTGTATTTCACATATCTTAATAATTAATACTTTAATTATTTTGTTTAATTTTGCAGACAAACACCACAAATTGAAGAATAAACACTTATGGTAAGTAAGTAAGTAAAGTCACAAAGTGGCTTTATTTCAAGGAGAAAGAAAAACATCGTAAATTCTTTTCTGGGGCGCCCCAAAGAAAATAAGGATGGGACAGTTGAATAGTCTAGGAGGCGCCATGCAAACTTCTAATTAGATTTATTGATTCCGTGAAGAGGGGACTTCCGCTGCAATCTGAATGGAAGAACATTTTCGTTGTATATTATTATTATTATTCGTGGACGTTTCCGCGCGATGCGAAAGTTTTCGGTTTGGTGGCGCCCCGTTCAAAATTATCACCGCAAATATGGAAGCATAACATGAAACCGTATCTGTCGGAAATGTACGTTTCGCCGTTTCCCCCCTTTTCGCTCGCATATTTCGTTTCAAAGGACCGGGATTTTGCAAATATACGAGCAAACAACGGAGAAATAACAAGTTTGATGAAACTTATCGTATGTCAATTATGTGAAAAGGCAACGTTCGATGTTGCGCAATTACTGTGTTTATATACTCGAGGAGGAAACTGGAATATTATTATAGTTTAAGGTATGTAAACTAGAGCAAGCTATAATCAAATTTGATCATATTATATTGCAGATGAAATGTGGATGGAATCATTTTTTTATGGGGGAGGACATGTGGCAGCAATTCGTTCGACTATGAAATGAAAACTGCGAGCTGCGGTGGACAGCAGCAACAGCAGCATTAACCAATCGATTTATTTTAATTGTGCAAATAATTACGGTACAATTGAACGAAACAGCAACGGACAATTTGATCGCGAGGCTTGGGCGTGATTCCGAACATGAAATTCATTTGCGGCTCAAATGAAAACAATAATAGATAAATCTAGCTAAAAACTAAAGTGGAGCGACGAAACGCGGACGTCGCTTTTTAGCGTAAATTCCGATGGAAATTACCGAATTTATATTCAAATTCCTTCTGCTGCTCAAATTGACTTTCTTAGATGAAGCGTACTTGCAGCAAACCAGAAAATTGCTTTCTTAAATCGCAGCTATTAAAGTCTGCAAAGATAAAATGCACTTTCCGAACGTTTCTTGTAATGCAACTGCTTTAAATAATAATGCAAGTTGTATGTTTCAGACGCAACTGAAGGGTGGATGTTTGAACGTACATACTAAAAAGGGTCCAGGTACATCATAAATCATGCCTTTCTGACATTTGGCTCTGGTGAGTTGAGCGCTTTCGAAGATGATGAAAATACATTTCCTTTTTCATGTTTTTTTTTTCTTCTCCTCTGTTGTAGTTAACCATTACGTGCCGAAGTGGCCGACACAGAAACCGTTTAAAGTCCTCGACCAAACACTCGGGGAGCAGAAGAACGCGCGAAAGAAGCGTCGCAAAAAAAAAAATGAGTGAGGATGAATGGAAATGGAATAGGACTTGGAGATTATCCCGGTTTGCTTTATTTCCCTTTTCCGTCGCTCACGATCCATTTTTTTCTCTTGCCTCTCTTCTCTTCTTCTGGCATTTTCGGTTAATAAAGCGGGATTTCGCTCCGAAAAATGTTATTAGCGACAGCGAAGAGAGAAAGAGAAGATTGATGGCTTAAACAAACAATTTCGCTTCACAAAGCGTCACATGGAATGGTGGAGGAAAAGTGAGAGAAAGAGAGGAAGGAAGGAAACGGCGGAGGTTTAAATGAGGTCCTTTTAATGGTGTATATCTCCGTCAAGTTTTGGAGTGATTGCGATTTTCGCGGTCGTTAGAGACGGACTAAATATGGATGAAATAATATGAAGAAAATGGTAGAAAGCTTTTAGCCGATGAAATACGCATATAACTTTTTTTTTTCTTCTTTCAGATAAAGCGGATTTCGATTCACAATTGATCCTTAAAGAGAGAAGTATTAACAGAGCAATAAATTATCTAACTGTTTATCTAAATTTGTATACGATTTCTGTTGCAGATGCATTAAGCAAACCTCCGATGATTGCGAACTGATGGATGTTGTTTGTGTGGATGAAATAGGTTTTCAGATACACCGAAACTTTACCAATTCGCTCCACTTAATATTTGCATTTTACCCGAACGACGACTTTATTTGTATGCTAATATTTGCGGCAACGTCGAACGGTTTTTAATCCGTTTGTGCAATCGAATTTTCACTGCAAAAAAAACTCAAAAACCGTTTGCAGTGAGAAAAAGAAGGTGACGTTTCCAAGAATTTGCAAACAAATTAATTTACTAATATTTTTTTTTGTAGCTGGCCAATAGTTAAATCATTGTATTATGTTGATGACAAACATTTATACGATCAATTAAGTGAATTAGGTAAGTAAATATGACTGAATTAGTTGTGATGTGGAAAATTCTGTAGTTGATCCTTGGGGGTTGTTAAGATAGAGAGAGAGAACATGACGATTATCCCGATTAATCCTCGGATGAATGTTTACTCGCAGATGGAAATAGCTGGTTTAAATTGAGTGCTCCTCTCTCTGTCTATCTCTAGTTCGTTTAAAAAGAATCATTACTTACATAGATTGTAAAAGCATTTAATGACTTCATTTCAATTAATTGCCAGCGGGCAATTACGTAAATAACCATAGAGCAAATATTTGCACATCCAGACTCTATTCAATCAATATAATGCAACTGTACATAATTTTACTAATGATAATTATGTTTTAGCTCTAGTCGATTGAAATGGAAAAGGATGTGGAAAGGAAAAAGCATATGGAATTAACGAATTACTAATGTTACGTCTCTAATGGGTACGTATGTCAATGCGGTTTTCGGTGGATCAGGGCACCGCCATTACGGGGGGGCTTTGAAATTCGGGCGTGGATGACATTTGCGAAGACAAACAGTTTCTTGTTCGCCACGTACACATTGTTTGCTTTCGGGGGCTTTTGATAAATCGGTATCTCTCTATGTGCAAAATATGGCCACGTATATAAATTCCCGACACGCCGTTGCGAAACCACCCCCCCAGCAGCAGTGGCAAATAATCCCACGCACACGTCTCCAAATATATATATATACGTTCCCCCCTTTCGTTTTCT